TTATGCAATTAGGTTTTTATCTATTTGTACCTTCTGTTATAGTATTTTTGTATTATCTATATTTTTATATGTAACACCTTAAAAATATTTTTAATTTTGGCATTTTAACCCATTTTAATACTAGTAAATTAAGCTAAACATATCGTAGAATTCTAGAATTTTCTCGAGCGTTCCCTTCTGTAGAATATTTTAGAGGGGCAATTAAAATAGAAACAGGTTTCCAGAGTCAATCAGTCAATCCAATCACTCAGTTGGACTTCACGCCGGTTGATTTCACAAACTTAAGTGGTGGATTTTGTCGGCATTCATTGTTATTGTTGGATTTAGTTATTGTGGAATTTTTGTGACATATTTTGTTGTTCGTCATTATGTGTTCGTCGCTTTATTTTGGTTTGTGACCGATGTCTTCGAAACGCCAACGTTACGGCCTATTTTGACTATCGTGTTCAATAACTGGTTCCGGCAGAGGTCTATAACCCAATAGGATCACCATGGGTGTGGTCACGCTGTTAAAAAAAAGGCAAGGATGGTGGACGGGAATTACAGACCCATAACTCTGCTAAACAGAGAGTTAAACATTTTGGACATTCCGACGGAGCTTTTGCAGTCGACTCTTGAGATTCTGTTGGGACGTGAGCAGACTTGTACTATGAAGGGACGAACAATTCAACCTGCACCTGATCCGCACGATCAAACTGCAAACTGCGCTGCAAACTGCAAACTGCGCTGATCAATTTGGTTCAGTTCAAGGCATTTGATAGGGTCGACCATCGGTACCTGGCTCCTGTCCTGCAGGTGGATTAGCCTTCTGTATCGCTCCCCAGTGCTGTGGTACAGGTGAACGGAAAATGGTCCCGCGTTTTTGCGCTGTCTCTGTCGGTTCGTCAGGGTTGCCCGCCGACGCCGCTACTTTATGCTTTGGCGTTGGAGCCTCTGCTTCGCGGACTAGAGGACGCAACGTACAGTCCTGCCCTATGTGGAATCGAGGTACCTGGTGACCTCGAGCCAAGGTTTCTGCGTACGCCGATGTCGTATATACTTTCGTGTCGTGGCGCAACGACATTGAGGTGGTACAGAAGATTAACCGCAACAAGTCTTCTGGCTTGCGGATAGGTGCCTAGAAAGGGATCGCCCTTCTGAGGTCCTTTGGCTAGATTGATGGACCCATCCGTATTCTTGGAGTGTGGTTCGGACTCAGACTCCAGCTAGAGAAGAATTGGCCAAAACTACAGGCAAATGTCGAAGCGTCGGTCGGGACTTGGTCCTAAAGGAGGTTGTTCTTGAAGGGTAGAGCTGAGGTCTTTCCTCTCATCATTTGCTGGTTGGCTGTACTCTCTCAAAGGCGATCGAGTGTGGTGGGTGCAAGCAGAAGGTCCATAAAGAAGCCTGTGTCCAGCGTCCCTCTCATGGGGAGCTAGGATTGCCACAATTGTTGTCATTGATACGCCTCGTGTTTGGCTTTCCTACGCCGCGTTTTGACAGAGGATTCAATTTCGGTGGGGAGTGTTAGGGACGCCTTACTAACACGCCCCTCCCCCCGCCATTTCCTAGGCTAAGCGCCGTCGTAGGTTCGGGAAACTGTGGACTTTTCTCAATGAAGATCGAACGGCCTTGAGGGGCTTTCCTCGGTTCAGTGATCTTTCACAACCTCTAAAGGTCTGGTATCATGAATTAGTGGAGGGGGTCGCGAAGGATCCTCTCTGTGGGCGGCTTGGCTTGTCACTGGTCGAGTTGTGCTTTTTCTAGTCTTGGGCGCCAACGGCGAATTACCTCAGTAATCCTGAGTTTTCGCTTAATTGGTTATTGATTCGAAACGAGCTATCTCTCAATGGCTTGAGCTTCAGATGGGGCGGAGCGGATTTGCCCAACTGTCAAAGTTGTGACCTTGGTTTAAAAGAAACAGCTTTGCACGCCTTCTACCATTGTCCTCAGGTATGCCCTTTCTGGGACTATGTCGGCGAGTTGACGGCTGGTATTGCCCTCTATAAACTTGTGCTTATCGATCTGTGAATACATGGGACATAGGAAGATCAAAGTTACTCTTCATCGAGTACCTCTATTTTGATATTTTTTCTTCAGTTTAAAGTAGCAGAGGTATCGATGGTAAAGGACAAGACCAACATTGCTACTGATGACAGAATTTTTTGTCTCAGTAAGATTGTCGATAGGAAAAGTTTCGTTGACATTCCGAACGTGTTGATATGCGGTGGCCATTCTATCTACGTAGGGCAGCTGACCATCTGTCAAAGGCGTGCCCAGGGAGGAGGTCAGAAAATCCCTGTTAATGCCCATGTTTAACGTAGCTTCCATCGACGGAAAATCGGTGGAATATCCAAGAAATTTCCCCAGTGCCCCAGGTGTTATCACATGGATTAGAAATACAGGCTAAAGAAGCTTTTCCGCAAATTCGAATGGTGACAGAATTTTGTTTTCTAATTTTTTAATCCCCGGTGTTCCAAAATTGGGCAGAATTGGGCATTAAAAAAATTAGAAAACAAAATTCTGTTCTGGATGGGTCCCTGTTATTCTCTATTCCACATTATACAAGGCTCTCAAATTAACTTATCCCACGGACGTCGGCAGCATTGTCCTGGATGGTCACATGACGACAGAGAACAGGGAGCCTAGGACAATGCGTCGGGGTCATTGCGCCCGCAGATTTCTCTCCAGCCAGTGAGTAAGGGAAACAAACTTGAAAAATATTTCTCAAGATAGCTAGTCCAAATGAATCTTTTAAGCTGATTGTTGAGTTTGTTCGGCCGTCTACTCGGGTAGCCAGACATATAGATAGAATGTTAATGAGAACATTCGATATATGCTTACTATATTGTTCCACGTTCCACTGGTTATGCTATTCGGACCATAGACTCGGCTGTGCACTAATAGAGTTAGGTGCTAAGTGTCTAACGAAGCCGTAAACATGGGCGCAAAATTGCGCAAGGAAGAGATCCATCGAGGTTCCGATCGATACATAAGTTTGGTCAATACCCTGGAGGGATACAGTCTGAGGTAGACAGATGACATGTGTGAGGCGTTTCGGCGGTATTTCGAGAGTCGTTTTATCAAGGAGCCTGGTCTGAAAAGTTCTGCAGCTATCTGTCTTATTTTCCTCGGCTTTCGCCGACTGAAGAGGCTAGCTGTGAGGGTAAGAACACGGAGGGTGAAGTCTACTTGGCACTGAAGCGGGTCGGCAATGCTAAGTTTCCGGGACTTAGTGGTTTGCCCTGTGAATTTTACTTGAAGTTATCGCACATATTTGACTGTTGTGTTCAACAAATGGTTCCGCAGGGATCTAACGACAATCGGATCACCAGTGGTATGATCACGCTGTTGAAAAAGGGCATGGATGATGGGCGGGAATTAGATGATTACAGACCCATAATTTAGTTAAACACAGAGTTTACGGTTTACTGGCTTACGGTTCTTACTGGCGAAGCAGGGGCGGATTGAGTCTTGGCTTCTACCAGGGCCTTCTCCGCCTTACTTCGACCAGATTTCTTTCTTGGTAATGTTTACTTTCTCTTCATCTTCTTCCTCCATCCCTCTTTTCAGCGAGGAGGATTGAGGTGAAGGTCTCTCCCCCTCCACCTCCATGTACAACTTTGGAAGAACAACGGCTGCGGTAGTTGCTCGAGTTGCCGCTGTTGTTGCAGCTGGGATCCATTGTCATGCCTGCTCTTGTTGCTGGTGTTGAGGCTACCGCTCTTCACTACATTAGTCCATTAATTGGAGCCATTGGAGTGTGGCCGTACTTTTCCGCCCCACTACTTCTTACTGTGCTGCTGATTTAGAAGCTGGTATTGCTCGTGTTATTACTGATGGTGACGGGTCTTTCCCGGGGCAAGATTTCAGAAAGTCTCTCGCGGTACCACAGGACCAGCAAAGATCAACCACCACAAAGATCGAATGGCCTCCACAGACCAGCACATTTAGAATCTCCATAAATTTTTACTGGTCAATGTGACCATTATTTCTGCATCACCGTTTGCGATGTCGCCCTTGATGAACAAGACGTTGGAAACCTCACCAAACTTTGTAAAGTAATAGCCCAAGTGGTCTTCAGTAATATATAAAGGAACTCGTGCAAGATCATCTTTGTCTTCCTGGTACCTATATATTCTGTCTGCATCCTCATTGTCATCGTTGTGAGACTGTTCCCTGTCAGTGACTTAGCTGCATCTTCAGACTTATTTCTTCGGGCCAACACTTTAGCCTCATCCTGAACTAGTTCCCAAAGAATCCAACCAGATCCTGATACGAATAACGCTCATATCGCAAGATTCCCTCCACTTGCGACGTCCATATCACCATTCTTGCCACGGCTAGCAATGTGAGAAACATCATCCATTTCACCCCGGAGAATGAGGGCGACACATTGTCACAGGCGTACGTAAGATTAATGGACACAAGCCTATCGGGAGCAATACAAGCCGTCAACTCACCGACATAGTTCCAGAAAGAGCGCACCTGAGGACAATGGTAGAAGGCGTGCGAAGCCGTTTCTTCTAAAACAAGGTTACACTGATGGCAGAGGGGGAAATCCGCTCCGACCCATCTGAAGGCTACGTTATTGAGAGGTAGCAAGTTACGAATCAATCGCCAGGTAAGCGAAAACTCAGGATTACTGAGGTAGTTCGCCGCTGGCATCCAAGACCTGAAAGGAAGTAACTATGATGCCAACAAGACGAGTTGGTCACAAAGGCAGTCCGTTGCGATCTCCTCCACTAACTCACAATACAATAGACTACTAGGCTGTGAAAGGTCACTGGACCGAGGAATAGCTCTTAAGGCCTCCCAACACTCTCGCAGAAATTCCGATTGTTTTGCGCTCAGCCCTGGAAACGGAGAGAGTGGCAGTAATGCTATCGAAGGTTTCCCTAATACTCCTTTCCAAAATCGAATCTTCCGTCAACGCACGGTGTAGGAAAGCCAAACTTGAAGCGTGCCAATGGCACAACAAGTGCGGCATTCCCAGCCCTCGAACGGACATAGGGCAACATTCATGGGCAGGTGGAGGAAGTTATGGCAGTGAGAAGTAAAACAAGCATTGCTACCGGGGATATAATCCTGCAGGTGACAATATCCCGTAAGTATTTTTTGGAAGTACTCGACATTTTGACGTATCGGCGCTGGAAGAACCTCATCGTTGTCGAGGGTCGTCGACCCTCCTCTTGGTTTTGTGGCTCTGCGGTACAGGTGTCTAAGGTGTTCCACGAAAAGAATACGCCCCTCAGACTTTCCAAGCAAAAGCAATGGCAGAAGTGGTGGGAGAGGGAACAAGGAGCCCGAGGGCTGGAAGGAGGTCGAAAAGTGGCTCCTCCTCCTCCTCAACAGATTGCCCCATAGCAGCACCAGAGCGATCGGAGCCGGACAACAGTAGCAACAGCAGCACTGTCAGGAACAAGAACAGCAGCAACAGAAGTAAAAACAGCGGAAGCATCATCAGCAATAAAAGCAGCAACAACAAAACAAAATGCGGCAACAAGATCAGCAGCGGCAGCTTTACCTATTACAGCTGCCTGGCGATGGAGGTTGACTCGCTCCTCTTCTTTGAAAAGGGGGAGGGAGTATGCCCTAGAAGGGCGGAACAAATTATGGGACTGACCCCCCTCTGCTTCGCCAGCCAGAAATGATGCAGCCGCAAGTAAGGCTAGGAGCCTCTCTTCTCCCCAGGATAAGGGTCCAATATCCCCCACCCGCACCTATGCCAAAGAAAAAGAACCCTTTTCTAAGGGGGGCCTCTGCCTTGTAGATGCCCCCCTTGAGTGGGACTTCTACTCCCAGAGGAAGGCCCACTTCAGACCCCTGTTTAAAGTGACTTCTGTCGATGGAAAATCGACTGGCGAGCCCAGGAAGTTTGATAAGGCAACTGGAGTCATAACGGTTGTAAAGATCGTGTCAGCGAAGGACTCCTTTCTGAAGATCCAGATGTTGGAAAAATGGCTAAAACAGGCATGGTCCCAGTTTTAATCCACCCCTCATTAAACAAGGCCTAAGACGTTGGCGGGATTATCACAGATGTACGGATTACGTCCGACCTGGGTACTGATAGCCTAGGACAAGCCATCGGGGTTCTGACTCGTAGAGATTTCCAGCCAGTTAAGGGAATCTGCTTAGAAAATGTCTATTAAGTTAGTCAGCCTTAATATGAGGGTTTTGAGCTGCCTGTCTGTTTCGTGATCTCTTCTCCTTCGGTGTCGATGTGCTCGATCCAGGAGGCACACTTTGTTTGCGACGCTGATGCTCGTGTGCTGACTTTGTCGTCTATTCAACAGATGGAGGCCAGCTGACTAGCGGTATTTCCTTGTTAGTTAAACGTCCCCTGGATGCGAGGGTGGATCTTGTCCATGTCAATGCGGAGGTAGCGTTTGATTGTGGCCGATATTGCCGTGAGCAATAGTTCATTTCAGATCGTTTCAGTTTAAGCGCCCAACGGTCGTATGGAGCGTGTCTCCGTATCCGTCGTTTGAGGCCATTCCTGGTGTATTAGTCGAGCTTAGTCTTAATGGTGGGGGAATGCTATCATGGACCCCAAGATATGGATAGCAAGGAGGTCGGGTGATTGTAGCCTGGTCGATCAGATCGACGAGTTTGAGCTCGTCGATAGATACAGGGTCTATCATCCTGTGCGGGAGATGTGGTTATGGGTAGTGGCCGTCTCTCTGTGTCTCCAGCTACCTGGATAGAATGTTAGTGAGAAGAGTCGATCTAGATTTGCTCGATTGTCCCACGTTCTACGGATCAGACTATTCGCACCACAGACTCATCTGTGTCCGGATGATGCTAAGTACTAGGCCTCGAATGGCTGGACACTGGAAGTTCAATCTGTCTTTACTGAACAGACGGGACTTCCAGCAACAGCTAATTAGTTTAGTGCAGTGGAAAATAGGTGGTTATTGGGAATAGGTGGTGGGAGAGGCTTAAAGACAGTATTGGGACTTTCATAACCGAATATAGCCAACGAATATCTTATGGATAGTCGGTCCAAGAAGGTGGCTGGGGATACCTTAGATATAGGTTTAGGTAGGCAGGATCTGAAGCGTGAGGCTAGCAAATACTACCAGGGTCAGGTAATTAAACGTAGGTTAAACAAGATGTCTCCAGTATCGCTCCCCTAGGGTTGTCCGCTGTAGCCCCTACTTTACGCTTTGGCATCAGAGCCCCTCCTTAGAGCTAAAGGAGAGTGCGTGCAGTCCGCACTACGTGAAATCGATGTCCCTGGAAGAAATTGAACTAGTGTTTCTGCATACGCCTATGACGTATCGATTTTCGTGTCGTGCTACAGCGCCATTGAGGTGGTACAGAAGGTGCTTGAACGGTACAAAAAGTTCATGGGGGCCAAGATTAACCACAACAAGTCTTCCGTTTTGTGTTAGGCGGGTGAAATGAGGTCGCTTTTCCGAGGTCCTTTAGTTGGACAGACAAACCCATCTGCATTCTCGGAGTGTGGTCCGGGCCCGATCACCAGCTGAAGAAGAATTGGTCCGAAGTACAATCAAAAGTCGGAGCAGCAGTCCGGTTGTCCATAAAAGGTAGGGCTGAGGCGTGTACCACTTACGTCTTTCCTCTTATCCTCGTGGGGTGAAGCAGAAGTTCCGTGTCATGGGGCGGGGGGCTGGGATTGCCACACGTGATGAGTCATCGACACACCTCGAGGTTGGCTTTCTTACGCCGCGCTTTGAAAGAGGACTCGATTTTGGAGGGGGAGTGTTAAGGACGGCCTCTTCCCTAGCCTTGCCCCCCGTTTCAGAGGCTGAGCGCTATCGTAAACCCCGGAATCAATCGAGTTTCCTCCAAGAGTATCGGTTGGCCATTCCTCGGTTAGTGACTCTTCACAGCCTCGTAGACGTGTATCGTTAGTTAGTGGAGGGGGTCGCGAAGTATCTTCTATGTGGCCGGCTCGGCTTGTCGGCATCAGAGTTGAGATCTTTCTGGTCTTGGGCACCAGCAATTCAGAAACTTTAAATTATCGCTTACCTGACGATTGTTTCGGAACGCGCTATTTCTCAATGACGTGGTCTTCAGAGGGGGCTGGGCGAATTTTCCTGATTGTCATCGGTATGACCTTCGTTTAGAGGAAACGGCTTCGCGCACCTTCTACCATTGTCGTCGAGTGCGCTGGGAGTATGTCGGCGAGTTGATGGCTCGTATCGTTCCCAAGCAGTTCGCGTTCATTGATCTCACATACGTGTGCGATCATGTCTCCCCCGTTCTCTGGGATGAAACGGATGGTGTTTTTCACGTTGCTTGATGAAGGAAATCTTGCAATACGAACGTTATTCGCATCAGGATCTTGTAAGATTCTTTGGGCATCAGCTGAAGATGAAAATCAGAACTGATAGAAAGCGTTTGTTATATTTCAGTGATGGTTAACTGCAGCGAGCTTGGTTTGTGTGAACAGGGCTAGCCTTGATTTTCTTTTTAAAGTCCCGGAGAGTTTTCCTGTGAACCCTCCCTTGGTTAATTTAGACACTATTTGTTTACCTAGTTAATATGAATAAGTGTTCTCAGCCTTCTCTTTTGTTATGATCCATGTCGAGATTCCTAACCGCTCCAATTTGTTTTTGTCTCATTTCTTATCTTGACTGGTTCAGTCTTTGATTTTCCCATTCTATTATTCATTTTTCTTTTCCACCCCATTATTGAGTGAGCTTCTTGATTCTGTCGAACGGCAGAATACAGCGGCCATTTTTATTATTTTTTAGGGGTGGATGAGTCCTACTAATATCTGTTATGTTTTAGTTTGATTTTGTTATATTATGATTTGTTTTTGACTTCATCCCCTCCCATCTCATTTCATGATTCATAATTTTTTTATATATTTTCGTCGGAAAAGAAAAAGAGAAAGAAAAGAAAGAAACATTGAACATTTTTACATAGAGTAATTTTTACATGAAGGGATTGATTTATTGGTTCCTTGTGAATATGTGGTATTGTGATACTTGTAGGATTGAATGGTGATGGATGAGTTTTTGTCGTGTAATGAATGAATTGGTCATGATTCTGGTTAACTAGGTCTGGGATAGTTAGTGTTGACCAGCCTTACCCAACTTCCTCTTCAGCCTTGTGCCACTACTTTTCATTTTATGTATAATATATATACTGCCTCGTCCGTCGTCTTGCGCGTTGGATTTCTGACTATTTACATGTGATATTGGTCCTGTGATTTCGACATTTCTTTCTGCTCTAGATCTTCGAGTTTGTATTACGATTTGTTTATTTCGTTGTGGAATTGAATTGCCATCAAAATTTTTGAAACTACCTGCTGTCTGCTTGATGACTGCGCTAGTCTACGCTAAGCTTAGTTAATGTGTCTATAACAAATCAAAGATAAACTTAAACTCGTTTGCAGACCACTACAATTGGTAGTTGAATCTTACCGACGGCCTATTTATTCTCACCGCGTTTCTGCATAAATAAACTTTTTTTTAAATTCAAAATTCTCAAAACATCCTTCAACATTCGAATCTGAATAGTGTTTATTTTATTTTTCTTATATCATAATTAATTCTAAAAGTCAATATAATAGTTTACTCTGAATTTTAGAAAAAAATTGTTTAGGACTTTAAGTCGAAGCGTAAATGCATAACATCTTTTGTCGGATGATCGACGACTAAACTGGCTCTCCCATTCCAATTTATTGCGACTGAGGAGTATGGTTAACAACTCTGTAGGATGAAAAATAAGGCCTACCAAAGGGTGGAAAACTCACGAGTCAACAGCTTGCTACCTAGAAATGGGATCTCAATAAATTCACCATGGAGATGGCAAAAGGAAACCAGTCTACTGTCAATCCCAAACCCATTTATGGCTATCGACAATATTATTAACAGATGTAACGACGTCAAGGGAGCCAAGTTTATTAGCTTTAACTTTTCGCTCGGTAAGGAGAGACATGTACAACAGGTGTCACCTGACGTCACAAGCAACTGTTAGCAAAATAAATATAAATGATAACGACGTGAAAGTGGTCAAGCTTTTTGGAATTGATCCCAGCCCGGTAAAGGAAGGCAAATGGAATATCAGTTGAACAGGAACAAAGCAACAGGACCAGATTGGATTGTAGTAGAGATTCTGGCAATTTCGTCATTGATAAAAATGCAGAAATAATTAATGAAATCTACGACAATAGAAATACGGGAAGATCTTAGTAGTTTCATTTTCATAGGGCTGCCTAAAATGTCAGGTGAAAAAGAATGCGAGCTGTATCAATCCACCTAAAGTAATGAAAATTATTATCTGAATTCTAATGAACAGAGCGCGTAACATAATTAAACCTAAAATAGGACAACATTGCGGTTTTGTTAAAGACACTGGAATAAGAAATGCCATATTAATGCTCAGAATGATACTAGAAAATACAATACAAATGTAAAGGCGCGTATACCTAAGTTTTATAGATTATGCAATAGCGTTTGGTTAAGGTATGGCACAAAGAACTCTTTGAACGGCATAACTTATATGGGAAGCACGTAAGAATAAACTAAATTTGATACTGGTAGAAAATTAGTATCAAATTTCAAAAAAGAAAGGAATAAACAAGAGTTGTAAGAAACCAGATTTTGCGGGGGCAATCAAGACGAACATTCTTAGATGCGAACTACCAATTGAAGACATCAAATCAAGTACGAAAATTTAAATTTCTAGGAAGTATTAAGAAAAAGGAAGATGTCGCTAGAAAAAAGAAAACAGTGCTGATTGC